TTTTTTTCCATTTATTTCTGAACGTTTATCTGAGTACGATTTCATTAATTTAAATTAACTAATTTCTCTTAATTTATTTTTTTTAAAGTTTATTCAAGATGGATAAATTTAATGAACTATTTTTCATTTTTTAAAATAAAATTAAGAATACTAATTACAATTATTTTAATTCTGAATTTATATATATCACATTTAAAATGAAAACTAATGATAAAACTTTTCCCTATGAAAAATCTTTACATAAGGTACGATAAGAATAATATAAGAGTGTTTTTACAACGAGGAGCTTTAAAACAATCACCTAATTACCTTTAAAACATTGAGAAAAAGAGGAAAGAAAAGTAAAAATGAGGCATAAAAGAAACACAGGAATAAAATATATATTTCCAAAAAGTTTTGCAGAGTTCTTATAAAATATTTTTACTGTCATTTCAAAAGGAAATCTTGATTTAAATTCATTCCAAATTTACAAAATATTTGCAAAATATTATAAAATAATATGGGATTTAATCAAAGAAATTTAATACGCTTGATTTTTACTTATTAATTGATAAGCATATTAATACATATTACGCCAGCATAGTGAATATAAAGCAAACACAATGCTAACATTATTTACTAAAAGTAAATTACAAATGTAAGTAAATTTATCATTAAAAATAAAAATGCTTTTTCATTATTCTGCTGACCAGTCTTAAATGAAGATTTTAATAATGCAGATAGTTTCCAGTTTTTAATTCCAGCATCTTTTTAAAAAAATATGTTAATTAAAACCTTTGCAATACTTAAGTATTGTATGATAATTTATATGTAAACCCGAAAAAGCATGTTACACCAAGCTGTAAATTTTACGTATTTGTTTTTTTATAATTTATAGTCGTGGGTCAATTTTTATATAAAAAAAAGTGGTGCAAAATTTGTATTGTGAAACTGATAAAAATCTTAGGTCTTACCAATTAATGGAACCTTTTTCAACATTTAAAGGAATTAATCACTATAGAATGAAAAATACCGCATGATTCTATCTATTTAATCTTAACTTAGTCTTAGGGCAAATTATTAAATTAAATTGAGTATTAAAGACAGTTTTTGTAGCATCATGGAGGCTTATAAAAATCGAGAAGGTCTTCTGATCAAGGTAACATACTACCATTAAAAATCCTGTTCTTAACTTTTGTATTATTAAAATTAAATTTCATTACTTTTCATCTTTAATTTTAAGCAAGAAGAAAAATAACTTATACATGAAACCTTTGTGCTCGTTAAAACTATAAAGTTTTCAAATTAAGGATAGATATTTTGGTAAAGACAGATAGTAAATTTAACATTTTGTAAACTAGTAATAAGATTGTATGCAGAGTTAGGCAGTGTTGTACATCACTAAATTTAGATTTGTAATAGCCTGTGATACTGTTTATAGGTTACGCCCATATGTGAGTAATAATCACGATATATTTTAGTAGTTATTGAGGAATCCATGGGTGTGGTGGGTATAACATAACATCTACTTTTCTCAAACTAAAAAAAAAGTTATTTATTTATATCATTTGTAATTCACAAAGTCCAAAGTTATTTCTTTTTGAAAGATAATACAGTAACTAACATATGAATATCAATGCTTAATTTTTGACTTATGTAACAATGGCAGCAGTATATATGCTACACAGCACGTAGCTGTCAAATACTATTTTCCCCGTAAAAAGGAAAATCATTTACTTTTGCCTAAGATTTAATTTTATCTGCCTTTTTAACAAGTTATGTTTTTGGAAAAAAAATTTCAGAAAATTATATAATTTGGGAGAGAAGGAAAAGAAAATTAGAGTGTGAAATAAATTGAAATATATTTTTTCTTTTTTAAAAAAAAGTAAAATGGGTTTTTATACAAGTAATAAATATTGAACATAATTTTCAATTTAATTTAATGCTTACAAAATACTATTTGTACATTTTTTCAGGTTTTCTGAGTATTAATTTCATGTTCCTTTCCGTAATTTATTATCTTTTTAGGCCCAACCTTCTTTTTCAAAAAGACAAAATTTGAATTTGTTGCACTTAATTTTACTTTATAAAATTTTATATTGAAGGGTTTAATAAGTCTTTCACAGTAGCCTACGCAGGAATTTTTCAAGGGGAGGGGGTCCAGGATCGAAAGTCCTCTATTCCACCAAATAAAATACCGAATATGTTTTGGTTTTGGGCATTTAAGTGGTGTGTCGCCTGTTTAAAATTATGAGTGCACTCAAACCAGTGGCCCACACAAGAATTTTTCAAGAGGGGGGGGGGGGAGTCCAGAGACGGAAGTCCACCACATTCTTGTATCAAGCCTCCAATACGCCACCTAACATATTGTTTTTATTTTGTCAATTTTCGGGAACAAAAAACAGTAAAAAATTAATTCTTGAATGAATAATTAGCATTAATTAATAAAATTAATTATTAACAACAAATACTTAATTAAATTTTACGTACTATATACATAGGATTATAATCAATCGAGAAAAAAAAATCAAGGGCTTGGGGGGGCCTCCGGACCCAAGTTTCCCCCCTTGTGTGCGCCACTGGTCTTTCATATTATACTGATTCGCTTCAATCTATTGATTACACGCAGGGCCAGATTACTCATTAGGTGGTGTAGGCAATTGCTTATGAGCCCTAAGCTTTTTAGGGGCCCACAAGAGCACGTTCTGTTTTCTGTTAGTGCTCCAAAGACAGGCTATAGGGCCCTGAGAATTCAACTGCCTAGGGGCCTCCATGTCGTTTAATTCAACACTGATTACACGCTGACTACACAATAAATTGGGGGCAATGGTAGCCTAGTGGTTATATGGTCACAAACTCTTGATCGGAGTATCGCGAGTTCGAGTCCAGGTGTCACTGAAGACCTGCCTTGTAGATGGGACCGATGCACGATAAATCTATTGTGGCTCAACGTCCTCCCATTGGTGTTGTAATTAGGAAATGGAGTGCTAGAGTTCAGGTGTCGTCAAACAGGCTTCGCCCCTCCGCGAAGCCCTGGAATTACGAGGTCTGTCGCCAAAAAACCTCGGGTTACTTAATCGTGCGACGTTAATATTTATTGCGACGCATCAATAAATTATGAGCTTTTTTCTCTGCTTTTCTTTTTGTATAGACAACTATTAGCTGTCCATGAAATTATATTTTATATCATTTTTTAGTAATTGTTCATTTTTAATAACAATCAATTACATATTATTACATTTATTTATTCACTCTATTAGCATTTCAGTCATGTTTCCTTATTCTGCAGACGGATATTAGACATCCAAACTTGCTTACAAAAGCGTTTGGGCAGAACATCTTAATATTTATTCATCCAATTCCCACCTCCGAGTGCGCTAAAGAGTCTGTACACCAACTCATTACTCACCCGATTATGCCCATGCTGGGGATATCACCGAGTACGGGAATCGAAACCGTTGTCAAACAGCCACTTTCCCGCAGTTTCAATCATTATTAACCTCTCCCCCTTACAGTCGGCGAAAAACCGGTTAGTCTTCGCATTCACTATAAATATGGGTTTGTGGAATATAAATATGCTATCCCATAGACACGTATCTGGGGATTGTTAGTTTTAGTCTAGTCTGGGTGACCGCGGGGCGCTGGGAATCAACACACGCTCACTTGTCGGGGCCCGACGGGGGCTCAGGCCAGAAATCGATTCCCAAAGCACACAAAGTCATGGGGTGAACCGTAGGAGGGGCGCATCCGGGCCCCCTTCCTTCTGGGTGTAGAACAAGTTCATTTGCCACCTGCGCGGTAACGAAATGAATGCAGTGTCTTTATGAGGCAGTTAGTTAGTGTGCCATCTTCATAAATTTAGAGAAAAGGCGCTACTGTGAATAAATTTCAATAGCAATGGAGTGGCAACGGTTTGATTCTTTTTTTTTATTTCTTCCCTTTAAGTAAAAATCTGAACGAGCAAAATCGCGTTGATGGTAACCAGGTTTAGTTACAGCTCTTGTGTGAAAGATATAATTATTTTCATAATTAGAATGTAATTTTGTGTATTCATAGTGCTTAACTTTTCAGAAATTTTTTCGCTGTGGAATTTTTACTGTCAATATTTATTTGAAATTCTCTCCTTCCTTCAGCTTGCATTTATTTTATTGTTTGTTGTTTATATACCTCATTAAATTACGACTTGTAAAAATTTTTTAAAATGCGTAGTAAGATATCTCCTATTATTAAATTCTATAGTAGATTAATGAGCAAAATATATGAAAATCACTGAGATTGGAACTTTTTTCTACCTCTTTTGAATGGAATTGTTCAAAATATTCTTATTTAGTAATTTCCAAATGAAATTATCTTTGATTTCACTATAATTCAAAAGAATGTGTGTAAAAATTATATCAAATTTTGTAATTTTCAAAAAAAAAAAAAAATTGTAAAAGCATTTTTAGAAAAATAATTAATTGAATTGATTCCACATTTGTTCAAATTTTTTCGCCATACATTCCTTCTTACCAATAATTATTGGTAAGAAGGATTGTAAATAAGATGTACTCTTACCAAAAAGAAAGAAAAAACTATGAATAAGCGTATGAAAGAAATTTTAAACTCTGGGTCATCTCTTAGATAGTTAAAAATCCTACTTAAAACTTTTATAAATATATCTTGTATAACATTTCAGTGTTAATTTGCAATCAATTAAACACAACTTTAATCTGTAACACTGCATTTTGTTCTTATATTTCATTTAGTACATTTTATTGTTCATTTTTTTCAGTTCCTACTACAAGTTCACACTCTCCCTATGTGTATATATATATCTTGTTCAAATTTTCAGTCGTTGATAAAATACTTTTTATTCATCCACTCAAGTTCAAATACATTTTTTAAAACGTACTGAATGACACTTGATGTTAATACAATTTTTTCAAAGATTAATTCATTAAATCAATTTAATTAATGAATAAATAGTAACAAACAAAAATAATAGTCCGACAGCACATATAAAAAGGAAAATCGCTCGTTGGATCCTTGTAGCGCAATGGATAGCGCGTTGGACTTATACTGCAAAGGTCGTGGGTTCGAATCCTACCTGGGATGGCCTAATTTCTGCGAATGTGGTTTATGAATAAATGAATAGTAACAAACAAAAATCAATAGTTCCACGCCATATGTAGAAAGAAAAATGTAAAATATCGCTTTCTATTTTGCCACTTAATATTGTGATTCTGTCATATGTACATATATATTTATATATTAATTGTAATTATTTAAAAAAATAACGAAAATAAAAAATTTTCTTTGTTGAACTAAGTAGGAATTGACTGTAAAAATTTTTTTAACTTTCTTTTTTCTTCATATTTTTACTGATTTGAAACAATCTATTATATCCAAAATATAGAAAGTTATGATTTGTGAAAACTAGAAACTGAATATTTTTTTAAAAATATAACTGTATGCATTAATGTGCCCCAGTAAATGATTTAAACGTTTCTATTGTATGATCTTGATCAAGTTATAAATATTTCTATTTAAGTTAAAATACGATTCTTTAATGTCCGGAGACCATTTATGTTACTTTTTGAAATGTAAAGGGATTGAAAATATGTAAAAATTGGTCACAACACGTATAGAGGAAAATGAAATATAAATTTTAAATGTAATTTGATAAAATGGGACATATCTAAGCCTACTACTGATGATTTATTGTAAAGCGTTGATAGAAAATCATGTGAAAATAAAATATTTAATGATAACACTAGTTTTAGACACTCACTAAATAAAACTACCTCTAAAACCCGATAACATTCCTTTTTTTGGAGAAGAGGGGAGAATTTTTTTTCCAACTGTATATTGAAATTAGAAAAATTAGGTTTTCCCAATGTAATTAATTTACATTGTACAATGTAATTAATTAATGTAATTAATTTACCCCCTTTTTTTAAAAAAAAAAGAAAAAGAAAAACGAGACAAAAAATGAGAAAAAAATAGTAGCATGAATATTTTTATTTGAAATAAATTTCTGTATTTGAAACAAGAGAGAGGTGTTCTTTGTATATGTTACTACTTCTAATAATAGTGGCAGAGATATAGAGAGTAATGACTCATTGTTGCACATTATAGATTAAGCCCGCTTATCGAATGTGATTCACGTGTTGTTTACTCAATTTAATTCAGTATTTTAAAATTAAATAATTTGCCATTAAGTCTAGTATAGAGATCACTTTTTCCATTGTGATGCAGCTGAATATGAAAAAAAGAAGCATGTAATTTCCAATTCTAAAATTAGTTTTGTTACTAATGCGACCTGATCGACAATGCCAGACCGACGAAATTCATGCAGGTGACAGTTCAGTTTTGCCCTCAGTTCCACCCCAATTTTGAGGGGGTGGTCAGTGGCTTCCCACTTCGCTTCCCCTTCTACCCACCACAGGAAAAGACTAGTGGCTCGACGAACAATTAGAATGCAAATGGCAGACCTTTTAGCAAAAAGAGGCAAGAATATTCTCCAAAGAGATCTACTAGAGACCTGCCTCTTCACTCAGCAAAACTCGAAATTCTTAGAATTTATAAAAAATGCTTTCGAGATTCTGCCACCAGTGCTGCCAAAAATAAATCATGGAGAGTACTATTAAAACCTGTGTCTCGGACTCTCCTCGTGCTGCTGCTGTTGCTGAGTTTAGATTGTTGACTGGACACGACTGCCTTTGCACTCATTTGTTCCGTTTTAAACTGACTGACTCCCTTATTGTGTTTTGTGTTCTTCTGGACAAGTCATGGACGCTGCTCATCTTGACGTGTGCTCTGCACTTAAGAATTTGGACTAAATTGTAAAAAAATATTGGAGAGCTCGTTGCCTGATGACCTGATGGTCAATGCCCAGGCATTTGATAAATAAATAAATACATTTAGAATCCCCCATGCCACACAGGGGCGCTATACATTTACAAACATCCCTACCTTCCTTGGGATTCGAACCCAGCCCCTACAGCACAGCAGTCAGTGTTACTAACCAATACACCAGATGTGCGACCACAACAAAATAATTAATTTTCCAAATAATATTTGAAAATCAATCTCCAAAAAAATATATAATTATTTTATATCTTATATTAACGTTATATGCTACTATGTTAATCCATTGTTAATCTGTAATTATAGAGGAGAAAGCACTTTAAAGTATTCAAGTAGCAATGGTGAATTAATCAAAGGTTATAAATGATTATGAGTTTATCACTAAAAAGTTGTTCCGTTTTTTTATTGAATGTGACTATTTTGCTTTTTTTTTTCTGTCTCTGCGTTGAAAGACAAAACATATTTAAAAACTATTTCTGTAAAATCATCATCATTAATTGTACGAATAGTACAAAATATTCACTGAAGGAAAAATATTTTTACACTGAAATTCTTGTTTAATAACAATAATAGCAACAATTTTTCGGAATAATTAACTACAAAATTGTTATAATTTCTTGCGGGACTCTAAGAAACATTTCTATGCAACAAAAACTCGCTTAAAAAGGCAATATTGTAGACATCTTTCACTTCAAAAAAATACGTTAAAACTTAATTGAGATTGATTCATGAAGGCGTCTACAGTGTTATATAATACGTGTTTTCTCTAAAGTATTCTTTCTGATTCTTTTACTTTGTGTTTCTGATAAAGTTTCTAAATTTAGAATTCGGAGACACTAATAGATGCATAATATTATTTTCGAAGTGCAGCGAGCCATGCAAGATTAATGCGATTTTTTGTTTTCATATCTCGCAAAAGATAGATTATTTAGTGAAGTAATTGAAGAGTGGAAATGTAACGCGTGTTTAAATTATTAAAAAGATTTATGTAACAAAAATAAATAAATAAATAATGTTGAAATTGTAAGAAGATACCCGAAACACACACAAACTGAAATGCTTTTCTTATATTTTTGTAAAAAAAACTTTACTTGTTAATTATTTTATTACCTAAATTATGTTTAAAAGAAATACACATTTCTTGTAATGACTTTATAAATAAGTTTTAAAACATAACATTTTTAATGAACTGAAAGCGTAAAATTTATGTTTCTCAAACTTGAAATATCTCAGTATGCCTTAAAGCAGTAGTCTGCAAACTGTGTTTTACGGAACCCTGGGGTTCCACAAGACATACCCAGGGGTTCCATGAGCCACAATAAAAAATTGAAAAGAAACTTATAAATATGTATGCAAAATGGATTTACGTTCTCTATGTAATTTGTATAATTACAAGTATCTTAGCTTTAGTTTATCAAAGTTTAAAAATTGCAACAATTTTTAAACTTTTATTATAATATAATAAAAGAATATTAAAATATTTTATCTTTGTATATATATATATATATATATACTTCCTACCAGATTGTGAATATTCTATTGTTCACTTGTTTATTTTGGGTTCTACGAGATAATTTTGTACTCGTTAGCACCTAAAACACCTAAAATGAAGGAGAGGAAAGAACTTATCGGCATATCAACAAATTCGATATTAAAATCTAAATTTAAAAAAGAATAGCACATAAATTTTATATTGCAAAACTAAATAGTTTTCTAATGGAAAATGCACCATTTTCCATTTGCGGAAAAAAACACCTAAAATGAAGGGGAGGAAAGAACTTATCGGCATATCAACAAATTCGATATTAAAATCTAAATTTAAAAAAGAATAGCACATAAATTTTATATTGCAAACTCTCTCATGTAAATTACACAGTATTTCTCATACAGCTATAAACATTTTACTGCCATGCAGAAAATTATGTTTAACAATAAGTGAAATATATTTTTCAATGTGAGTGGCTACAAAAATAAATTTAACTCAGAATACGTAATGCGATTGCATTTAATCTCAATAGACCTAGTTTTCGTTGTTGTGTGAAAAAAAAAATAAGCATCTATCCCAGTTACTGAATATAAAGCATGGGTAGGTGGCACTTGGATCACAAATTACTATTATTAATGAGTAAATTATATTAAAAAATTAGATTTGAAATCTTTAATAATAAATGTAATACGGTTTATAATTGTCTATACCTATGACATGTTGATCGAATTTAATTATTATTTTGAATGCGGGAATGGGGATCAGTGAAAACACTTTCCAGTTCTAGAAGTTCTACAAAAACATCTTCAAGTTCAAAGGGTTCCATGGGTTGAAAAAGTTTGAAGACCACTACTTTAATGTAAAATTTAGCCTTGAATAACTTTTATTTACTATTTCCGGAAGCATTTTATTATTTTTTGATAGGTTACAAATATACAGAAAAGACGAAAAGATTCAACAACACGATTCGAAATTTTAATTGAAGTAAATAAATCCATATTCAACACTTCGGATTCCTTATTTCTTCAAAACTGTTTCGATTATTATTTAAAAAAATCGCAAAGCTCCGAAAATAAAATTCAAAAATAGTCTTCTGTTGGACATGCTGTTGACAAGATGTTGCGAATGAAACGGCAGAGTGAATACTTGGAAACTTTCCACATTTCGTTCTCGCTTTGATTTATTCTTTCGGCACCTTTATGCTACGACAGCATTGTTCAATCTGACAATCAAAATTTTATAAATAACTGCTGCCATCTAGAAAATCGTTGATTTCAAAGGATTATTTCATTTGTATTTAGTTTCTTCTTCACCTGACTCTAAGCGGTATTCGACGTTTTCGAATGAAATAAAATCTCTCTTCTGTGTTATTGATATATTCTTTAAGAATTGGGATTGCAGGGATTTTAAGTAATTTTAAATGAAAAAGTTATGAAGTTGGGAAATTTAAAACAAAATAAAACAGTTTTTTTAGCTCATTTATTTATCTGTTGAACCTAATTAAATAATTTTTCCTTACTTTTGAATTTTAATTTTTGCAAATGGCTTTTAATTCTTTAAGTTTTCAATTATATAATTTTTTGATTATGTTAGTAAGGTGGTTGAGATAAAAAAATAATATTGGAAATTCAATACTGTTAAAATTCAAAGTTTTCGTAATTGAAAAAAAAAAAAAACCGTGTAAAAATCATAACAAACACACTATTTGAAAAATTAAACTGTGCAGATTAATTATAAATTTGCAACAGAATGGATGAAA